TCCTGACTGGCTGGAGATGCGCCTGGGAACTTGATGATCAAGCACAGCTATGCCTGTGCCCCACGGCGAGTCTCCAGAGATGACTGGCCTCTGGGCCAGTGACCTGGGGGAGGAGGGCCACACGGAGGAGCTGGACACCATGCAATGGGTGCGGGTGGGGGAGATGGAGGTGGGAGGGGGGTGGGGAGAAGACAAGGGGGAGAAGAGGGAAGTCCTACTGCAGGTCACCTGGACAGTCCAACCGCAGCCACAAACACCTCCCAGATTTGGTCTTCAGTCACCAGGAGGCTGGCATACTCTGGGCCCAGTTGGTCCACAAGAAAATCACTGACATTCCCAATGAATTGTCTGGCATCTATTTGAGGAGGATAAAGAGAAGGTCAGAGGACAGGGTGGAGTTCAGGGGTGTAGGAAGTCACCCTGAGTGGACCTGTCCCATGGGAGACCATGCGTGGAACTGAGCCCCGCCCCCCAGTTCACAGGAAAAGTCCTAACCCCAGTGACTGTGTGTGGACACAGGTCCCTTAAGGAAGTGCAGGAATTAAGACGAATCAAAGCTGAGCCTGCTGGCACACGTCTGTAACCCAGCTGCTTTGGAGTCTGAGACAGAATCACAGTGTGAGGTCAGCCTGAGCAAGAAAATCAGCCAGACCTCATCTCAACAAACACATGAGGCCTAGTGGTGCAGGCCTGAGCTCCGCTGGGACGCAGGCAGAAGGCCATGGTCGCACGCTGGTCTCTGGAAGAAGCAGGAGACCCTGTGCAGGAATGGACAGCTGGACATCAGTTTTGACATCGCTGAAGGGACACTTCACATTGCTGTGCAGTCTGCATTGGAACGCTCCCCGAGCCCAAGGGGCTGGATGAGCTGAGGATCACAAGTGCCTGCTGTGGAGTGATCTGGTGGTGCAGAGAGCAGCCTCCTGTGGAGGGCGGAGGCTCTGGGACAGCGGTGGGGGTGGAGGTGGCACTGCTGCGCCTTGGCTCAGTCTGTGACTCTTCTCGGCTCATGGGACCTGGCTCCAGCCCAGTTCTCAAAGGAGGGAGATTTATCCTGAGGACTCCATCACCCAGGCCTCCCTCCAGGATCCCAGGCCCTGGGGGCAGTGGGGCCTGGAATCTTCCCCCTCTCTCCTTCCTTGCTCTGCAGGGCTGGCTCCTGGGAAGGACTGACCTGGTTCAAGGCAGGTGGGGGAGGGGAGGCAAGGGGAGCAAGCAGGCTGAGGGATGTGGGGTGGATGGGTGGGTGGGTGCGGTCCTGGGAGGAGGCCTCTGCCCTCTCTGTCCCTTTCAGGCTCTTCTTCTACATGGTCAGGAGACCCAGCCCTTTTGGGGCCATCACTGCTGTAAGCAGGTGCTTGTCCCTGGCAGTGTGGGCGGGCACCTGCCACAGCTTCAGGTGGGATGGGGAGGCTGCATGGGACAGGAGCAGGTGCAGGTGCAGGGAGGGAACTGGCACTAGGGGCGCTGGGGTGTGGCAGGTCCTGGCCTGGGGACCTAGGCACATCACCTCTGACCCTCAGAGCAACATGGGCAAAAGCTGCTCTCATGTCACCGGTGGGGGCAGGGGCACCAAGGTCACACTGGGGTCCAGTCCAGTGCCATTCTGAGTCACTCTTGCTCTGAGCCCTTCAGAGATCCTGGATCACCCACGAAGTGACCTTAGAAGTAGGGGAGGTGGAGAGCAGGGGACATATATAGGTTGGGGTAGATCTCCTGTCTCTGTCCCCTTCTGTCCTCCTGTTCCCCTCTTCCTCTCTTCTCTGTCCTCCCCTGGCCCCATCTAGGGAGACACAGTCAGCAGGAAGTGAGCACCCGGGCCCAGCCCTCCAGGAGAGGGCCAGGAAGCCCAATGACGGATGTAACCTTTGATGTTCACTCTTGGGGCCTCCTCCAGCTCTGATTCCTCTGCAGGCCAACTGCACTTGGAGCTGCCCCTCAGGGCCAGGCCTCCAGCAGGGGGCAGACAGAGAAGAGGACCGTGATTACCTGGGGAGGTCACCAGCTTCTTGGCGGTGTCTATGAAAAGACTTCTTGCACTCATGGTTGCTTTCCAAGCTGCAGAAGGAGAGAAGAACACAGTATGGATGGACTGGGGCAGCTCCAGCTGGGACCAGGCAGCAGGGGCCCGGTCCCCCTCGCTTCCCTCCAGGGTGCCAGGGCCCAAGCCACTCTGTCCCTCTTCCCCTGTGCTCCGTGACTATGGATAGAAAGTTAGTCATCTTGCCGGGCGCTGGTGGCTCACGCCTGTAATCCTAGCTACTCAGGGGGCTGAGATCTGAGGATCACGGTTCAAAAGCCAGCCCGGGCAGGAGAGACCCTGAGACTCTTATCTCCAATAAACCACCAGAAAACCGGAAGTGGCGCTGTAGCTCAAGTGGTAGAGCGCTCGCCTTGAGCTGAAGAGCTGAGGGACA